CCGCTGCAGCGGTGAAGGCCTGAAGCGGGGAGAGTTCCCTCCTCATCCCCGAGTGTCAGGGCCTTGCTGGACGATCACGGTCAATGACACTGCGATAGCTCGGGGAAGAGTGGGCCACTCCGGGGGGGAAAACTTACCTAAAGGCCAGAGAGGAGTGGTGAGTGTGATGAGCCAGCGCCGGAAAAAGAGGACAAGGGCAAGCTGCTGCTGGTGTCGGGGGGAAGACGGGCCCAGTTGGGGTGTCCCGTCTCCCGGGCTTCGGCACCAATGAAAGGAAAGGAGCGACACACAGCAGCAATTCACCGGAGATTTCCGCTTTATTAGGGAAAGGTGCTGGGTTATATAGGAAAGGGCATGAATTGATTGAGGTGTCACTTCTACAGGGCTGTTGGCTATTGGCTAGGTGCTGGGATTGGGAGGGGGCGAGAGGTGATTGGGCTTCAGGTGGCGCCAGCGGGAACCGAGGACCCCCGAAGAGAAGCCGGAAGTTTGCCATCTTACTGGTGGGGGCCCTTCAGTCACCATCCATAGTCTATCCTCTAGATATTCTGTAAGATAAACTTAACACAAGGAATTTCTTGATCCTGTTCTTCTCCAAGATAGTGATTCCCTCAAGTACTGCTTAGGATTACTTGCCCTGCCTGAAGATAGGGTGGTTTACTGTCTCATTAGTATAAAATATGTTAGGAATCTTGCATCTCAATTCCCTGGTTTTTAAAATGGGATTTTAGCCTTAAGATGCAGTCCCTCCAATTCTTAGTATACTATTTCTTTTGCAGTGTTTTTAGGAAAATTAATCATGATGCTTATTCCATGTCCCTGCCCTATCTCAGTATTTAGTATTTGTTTACAATATACTGGAAATGGACTTTCATCTCTCCACGCTATTGTTAACACATTTTTTTTCTTCTGACTTGACTGTCCAATCACAAAAGAGCTGTGATCTTATCAAACATTTAAAAGTTGGTCTAGCCATGTAACTCATAGTTTCTCTTTGCTGGACTAGAAGGAAGGAGTACTACTGTCTTCTGGTAAAACAGGTTTATACAGCTTACAAAACAATGGAAGAAGCTGTTATGAAGAACTCCATTAAGAAATATAAAATAATCTGTATTGTAAGTAGAGTTCTTAATTTCTAGCTTTGTGACAAATGTTGTGTACAACCACCCATTTATATTTGTTGCTACTTAAACGAAAAGTTTTAAGTAATTGTGTTCAGTTTTATCCCTTCTGATGACTCTAATGCAAAATTAATAATTAATATTTTTAATCACATTAAATAAGTAAGAAATTTGGTAACAACAAATTAATGTTTGATTGATCTAAAAAGTCTGGATTTGTGGCAGAACACTTTGCAACATTGATTTTAGCATGATTATAATTACCTCCGAAGTCACCTTTTTATTGCAGGACTATTTTAAGATCAGAGAGTGAGAAATTAAAATCACTGAACCTCACATTCTTTGTTGGACTATTAATTTTATCCTATTTTACTGCACTCCTGGAGATAATCTCTTTCGTTTCTTTTCACTTTCTTGTTCTTTTGTATACTAGGAATTTCCCTGTACTAAAAAAAAAAAAAGACAGTTTCCTTGCTTGTATTGCTCTCTTCTCCCTTTACCATCATAGTTGGGGAAGGCAGGGCTCTTTTCACACCCTTGGATTTCTTAGCACAGAACCATTTCTTGTTCTCTAGCCTTGTTTTTGCTGTATTGAACCTACCTGCTTGAAAGTCAGTGCTTCTCCCCTGTCCTTTTGTTGAGTCTCCATAACAATAGTACATGGAGATTTATGAGTATTTTCTCATTTTGAATTATTCTCCCATGTTTCCACGATGGAACTGAAATTTCCATTTTTATGACTTTACTTCTTATCTGCATTCTTGGCTGATTAATTTTTCCTCTTAGTGCATGTGGCATGGGGCTGTACTGCCAAATCCTGTCTAAAGATCTTTTCTTTAGGCAATTTCATCATCTTTAATGATTTTAAGAGTCATAATCTCAACTAGGAATTTCAAGGAAGCCACTCTGACCTCTTGCTGGGTTTTTGTCACATAATTTCAAATGCCTGCTTGCTGGTTCCTCCACTGAGTAACTTAAGTCAAAGCCACTTGCATAATTTTCTCACACCTACCCTGCTGTGGTTTCTTTCTAAATTCCCTTCTTTAGTTAATGTCACCACCATTCTCCCTGACACCCAAACATTGTTTTTGTTGTTGTTCTTAATGGAAGTAGAGCTGATATACAATATTGTTTTCAGGTGTACAACGTACTGATTTGACAATGATCAACAAAATGCTTATCTCAAAAAGTGTGGTTACTATCTGTCACCATACAAAGATAGTCAATATTGTTGACTGTATTCCCTATGCTGTACTGAATTTGTGTTTTAATAGCATCATCCTTTTTTTTTGTACCAAACATTGTTTTGAAGAGTAAATGGAACAATGTGTGTAAGCATTGAGTCCAGTGATTATGAGAAAGTAAATCCTCAAAGGAGTCTATTTATTTATCATCTTTCTGGGAACTTTGGAGCTCTCTTTTAGCTCTTATCCCACTTTTTATATTTATCCTATAATATAAATTCAAGAAATTGTAAACCCCACGGGAGCAAAACGTATGCATCATTTATTTCCCTTTTTTGTAGCCTTCTATAGGTTTAATAGTATATATAATAGGAGCTCAATATCTTAAAATAAGTTTCAAAGGTACCTGAATGATTCCAAATATTTTAAAACATCTCAATTCGGCACCTGCTATGTTTCTAGCACTCTTTATTTGGACAAACTAAAGCCAAGTGCTGGGTTCTCTGTTTATTGGAGTCCAAAGTGAACTCCTCCCCACCTTGTAGACAGCATAAGCTAGTTTACATACATGTACACCTCATTATCAAGAGGCTTATTCAGAATTATATATTTCCAGTAAATGATTTTAAGATTAAAAATGAACCCTCTTAGTCGTAAGGAGCTTACAGAATAATACAGAAAGCAAGCCATAAACATATGGAACAAGTACAAAGCCATGAAGAAATAGACACTAAATTTTAACACTAAGAAGTTTTAAAGCATGCTAAGGACACCTAGACATTGCTTACTTTTCCCGAAGTTTGAATGGCCAAAGGATCAAAAATAAGGTATAAACCTAAATAAACCAGTTGGTAAATCTATAATACATGAAGTTTACCATAAGGAAATTTCCCAGTACTTTCTTGCTTGGTACTATTCCTAGTCTTGGTCACCTGTGGCTTTTGAGCATAATAATAAGGGATCAAATGTTAATAATGTTATTTAATAACTGTTTATGTTCCCTCTTCCCTCTCCTCTTCACTGAATGAATGTTTGCTGGAAGGCCACTGACCCTTGGGCTAACTGAGATTTCATATTTTGTCATAGTATTTTGTTAGATGCATAACTGTTTTCAGAGCATTGTAACAAAAATGCCCAATCATTGAATTAATTTATATTGTGAAAGTTAGATATGTTAATTTTCCAGTTGTTTTTCAGAATGAAAACAAACAAAAAGTCAATAGCTTATGTAGGTCTTCAGTATCTGAGCAGGTTTTGATGTTACTTTTTTCTTTCATGACAGTGATTTTTTTAAAAACCTATAACAAAGTTTATTGATATATTAGAATATTTTCCTAGGTAGTTTGTGTGTCTCTTGTATTTGTATTTTATGGCAATACACATTATTCAAGCTGTGTCACCCAGCATGCTTATCATTGGACTTAAAGAGTGGGAGCAAAGGTTGGTGGGAAGAATTCTCTTTATATCACCGTTTAATTATAGTCATTGCATAAAGTCCATTACCCTGAAGAACTTTGTCAGCAGTAGTGATAATGAATGACATAGACTATCTCTGGTCACATAGCTTCTAAGTTATTTGTTTGAGCTGTAGCTCAAAACAGGTCATTTGCCAGTTAGTTATTTGGACATTATATTTTTACATATATTAAACATTCTCATTACCCTCCATAGGATAGTATTGGGGGTGGGAGACCCTGCTCACTAGGAATGAGGTGGTTAAATGATTCACAGTTCTGGGATGCTTTGAGATAAATGATATCCTAACAGGTATCTAGTTAACAAAGAAAAGGGGCAAAGGTAAATGGCCTCCATGATTTACTTCATACTTTAACTCAATTTAGGGTTAAGATAACCAGTTGAATATGCTTGAATTTGGACATCTGTAGTAAGTGGTATTTGAAAATTCTTTCCAAACCTCTCTCATTTTCAGGCATTAAATAAAATGATGTACCTCTGTCATGGTTGGATCTGATATCATGCATACCTAGCATGCTGTGTGCCCTTAATGTTGTCTGAGGGAGCACAGTCATGTGTTTCTTTGTACATTTTTAAACAATTGTAAAGGCCACTTTTCCTTTTTCCTGATAGGTTCTTCTCGCTTTGTTGGTGATTGTGTCCCTTGGATTAGGCCTGGGGCTTGGACTCAGGAAGCCCAAGGAGCAAGGTATACCCCTCAGCCTTTTTCCAGAACATTCTCTTATTTCTTCTCTCTCCTGCCCTTCACGAGCTAAATTTGTACTCCCCCCTCCTGAGCCCCTTATTCCAAGTGGAGCACTTTCCTACTGGGCTTCTGCTCTTACCCCACTTATCAGGAGCCACATTTGTGGTTAGTCATTTCTGGACTTTATTCTTTTGCTCTCATTCCCCTGCTCCTTTGAGATTCATATCATTCCAGTGGTCCTCTCATTTATGTTCACCTTCATAGAAGACTTTGATAACTGGATCAGACTCCTTCTGTCCCAGCTCCTGCTCTAATCATTCTATCTGATCATAAATTTGGCCTTGAAGCCTTTGCTGCTCCCTCCCAGGGATCTCCTGCCACCACTTCTGCACTTTGATCTCACATCCCTGAAATCTCACTATTTCTTGGTTAGACAGTACCACATTCTTGAAATGTAGTATAGAGTAAAAGCTTTATATGTCTTTCCCTATAAGACGCAAAGAAAAAAAAATAAGAGATACATGCCCCCCAAGTATAAAAACACTTCACATCTCTTTTGCCAGATCCCATTAGTCTGAACAGTAAATAAACTATTTCCAAGTGACTATATAAAAAACACTTCCTATAATCTTATTATGTATTATTTTGGTACTCTTATTAAGGGAAAACATGAGGTCAAATGTTAGATCATTTATTTCCCTTTTTACCCACTCCAGTGGGGAAAGTCTTACCGGTACTGCATTAGGGAGATTTTCGGTGAGGTCAAGGGACAATTTTCCAGTTATGTTTTCACTTAAGAATTACAAATGCTCAGTGCCCCGAGTGTAATGGGGACATGATAAGGTGGATATTACCTGGAACATTCTTGTCTTACCTCAGTCACTTGGCTGTTGTGTTTCTGAAGCATAATGCAGTCCTAGACCTAACAAATGTTGAGGGGCCATTTTCTATAGAAGTGTTCTGATGTTAGTGTTCACTTTGATCTCACATCCCTGAAATCTCACTATTTCTTGGTTAGACAGTACCACATTCTTGAAATGTAGTATAGAGTAAAAGCTTTATATGTCTTTCCCTATAAGACGCAAAGAAAAAAAAATAAGAGATACATGCCCCCCAAGTATAAAAACACTTCACATCTCTTTTGCCAGATCCCATTAGTCTGAACAGTAAATAAACTATTTCCAAGTGACTATATAAAAAACACTTCCTATAATCTTATTATGTATTATTTTGGTACTCTTATTAAGGGAAAACATGAGGTCAAATGTTAGATCATTTATTTCCCTTTTTACCCACTCCAGTGGGGAAAGTCTTACCGGTACTGCATTAGGGAGATTTTCGGTGAGGTCAAGGGACAATTTTCCAGTTATGTTTTCACTTAAGAATTACAAATGCTCAGTGCCCCGAGTGTAATGGGGACATGATAAGGTGGATATTACCTGGAACATTCTTGTCTTACCTCAGTCACTTGGCTGTTGTGTTTCTGAAGCATAATGCAGTCCTAGACCTAACAAATGTTGAGGGGCCATTTTCTATAGAAGTGTTCTGATGTTAGTGTGCACAGGTGGGCATCATTCCTTGGTTATTTTATCCCTCAAATCACATCAATTAATTGGTTACTTTAGTACACCCACTGCTGGTTTCACCCTTATTTCTTCCTTTTATCTCAGTCTATCAGCCCTTAGGTGGATTCACTCCCTTCTCCTTACCACCCAGCACACTGGCATTTAACTCCAGTTCCTCTTTTGCCAGCATCCTTAACATCTTCATCTGCCTCTATTTCCTAGTCCCCAGCCCTGGATCACTTTGACCATCCTCTGCTCCAATTAACTCACTTTTCATAGGCAATATATTTTTTTTTCTGGTGTGAGATTTTAAACAAGCTATAATAATTTGAGTGTATTGTTTTATATGCACATACTTTTTACTCATTCTTCAACCCCTCAACATGGACTGACTATGTGCTAGGTACTATTCTAATTATTAAGGATACAGTGATGAAGGAAACAAACAGAAATCCCTTAATCAGCTTACATTTTAGCATGGGAGGAGGACAATAAAAATATAAATAAGCAAAATATATATAATATGATAGGGAAAGTGCTAAGGAGCAAGTAAAATTGGAAAGGGGGAGATATAAAATGCTGAGCAGGGTTGAGCAGAGTGGGTGTGTGCAACAACTTTTGTAAAGAAGGGGTATTTTGGGGAAGAACATGCCAAGCAAGAAGAAATAGCAAATGCAAAAGCCTAAGGCAGGTGCTTGTCTGACAAGATTCTATAATCTTATTATGTGTTATTTGTATATAACCTCACCAAAAATATCCCTAATGCAGTACCGGTAAGACTTTCCCCACTGGAGTGGGTAAAAAGGGAAATAAATGATCTAACATTTGACCTCATGTTTCTCCTTAATAAGAGCACCAAAATTAGACATAAGAAGATTATCGAATCTTGTCAGACAAGCACCTGCCTTAGTCTATTTAAAGTTCTATTTAAAGAGTACCAAGGAATTCAGGAGGCAGAACTGAGAGGACTAGAGGGAGGATAGTCATAAAATGAAATCAGCCAAAGGGAAGCCAGATCAGAGATGGGTTGGGAAGTCAAAGAATGGTCTGGCTTTTACCTGGATTGGAGATTCTGAGTGGGGGAATGACATACTGTTGTTTGCTCTTCAGCATGACCACTCAGTCTGCTGTGTTATGAATAACTGGTGGAGTGCAGCCAAGAGAAGCAGACAAATAAATTAGGAAATTATTACAATAATCTCGATAGGCTTTATGTCTTGAACCATGGTGGGAGCATTGCAACTGGTGAGAACTATTTGGATTCTGTATTGCTTTTGATGTGGTAGATGGATTTTATTGATAGATTGGATAAGGAGTAAGAAAGAGAGGAGTCAAGAATGACCTCAGATTTTTTGGCATGAACATGAGGAAATATGGAATTTCTATAACTAAGATGAGGAACACTGTAGGAGGATCTGGTTTTGGGAGGAAATCAGGAGCTCGTTTTTGGACATGTTAAATTTGAAATATCTACTAGATGTCCAAGTGGAAAAGTCAAGAAGGTAGTTGAGTATATGAGGCTGGCTTTAGAGAGGAAGTTCTGGGTAGACATACAATGTGGTAATTATTAGAATCATGTGAGATTTAAAACAATGTGACTAATTGACACTAACCTTAAAGGATTAGGAAGCTGAAGGGGGAAAAGAAATCACAGAAGACTAAGAAGGAGTGGCCAGGAATGTGGGAGGAAAGCTAAGTGGTTGTTGTGTCCTGGAAGCCAAGTACCTAAATGAATAGGTAAACGTCTTTTATGTAAATGGTATATAAACTTCTTTTTTTACTTTATCATGAAACAGTTTTTAAGATTCATCTAAACTGTTATGCATGCATCTTCTTATGTGTTTATCTATTGACTATGTAATGCTCTTTGGCAAGTAACCAGTATGCCATTTGACCTATGCCCTCTGAGTGCTGAATACCAGGTTGACTTTAGTTCCTTAACACCACATAAATTCTGTAGGGTCTCTTATGGTCATATATGAGGTTTAAATTTTTAACTTGCATAAATAGTCCTAGACTGCTGTCGAGAATGGCTGCCACAACCTACCCACCTTTACCATGCATCTTCACCAACCCGTGGCATTAACTGACTCTCATTTTTGACACTGTAAAGTTGGGTGTAGATTGATACCTTTTATTTTAATTTTCTTTTCTCTCTCCTCCTGTTCCAATCTGTGTTAGTTGCTCTCTTGTTTTGTTTGGTGTATGGTTGGTGTTTCCCCAGCCTCTCCATTGTGTTGAACCTCATATTTTTTGGATCTCTTTTTTAATTTTACTTCATTTTGCTAAAGAACATTTTTCAGCAACTTCCTAAAATAGGATTCATGAGGTACATGATTGGAATTCATACCTATCTAAAAACATCGTCATCCTAACCTAACATATGATAGTTTGTGTGGGTAAAATTGCAATATTTCCAGAAGATCACGGCTGGCTTTAGTACATATGCATATCAACAGGTGCTCAAGGGTGGAGAGAGTATGGCTTTAGTGCATTTGCATCATTCAGGGGTGGAGAGAAGTTCAGTCTCCATATCAGTGGGTAATTACCGAGACAACAGGGCTTATCTGTACCGGAGAGGAGAAGGGAGCACCTGTTGTGGTGCTGCTGGAGCAGGAGAGAGAGAAGGGCCCAGCCTGCAGTTTGTAAGCAATAAATGAGTTTTAAGCTTCATTTCTCCCTTTGGCCGATTTCAGTTTTTAAGAGGTATTTTGCCCCAGGATTTCCTTTCCCTGGACTTACAGTTTGGTTAGGTATTGAATTCTAAGATGAAAATATTTTCTCAAGAAATCTGAAGATACTATTTTCCTGTCTTTCAGTTCCAGTGTTGTTTTCAAGAACTTTGATACCATTCTGACTAGTGAACCTGTAGAGTTTGGTTCTAATCTTTCTCTGGAAACTTGAAAGATCTCTCTCTCTCTTTTGATCCTTTGGTGTGAATTTTAGGAAATTTAGGGGGCAAATTTGAAGAAAAAATTTATGCTCTGCACTTCTGGGAAATTTTATAGTATGATTTCTTTAATAATATCATCTCCATTTTTTTTCTTTTCACTTTTAGGTACAACTGCCCTGTTTTAAGGTCATCTAAATAGTAGCCTTCATTACAGCTGCAAAATCCCTTTGCCACACAAGGCGACATATTCACAGCCTTGGGGATTAGGACATGGATTTTTGGAACCATAATTATGCCTACCACACCCCTCTATTCAAAGTTTTATTACTGCTCTCATTTGTATTTCCAAGACTACACAATGTTATTTCTCATTTTTTAAATTATAACTTTCTTATTCCATGGATTCAATTTCTTCTTTCCTGAGGATCTCAATATTAGTTGTGTGTGTGTGTGTGTGTGTGTGTGTGTGTAACTCTTCTTCTCCCTGCATTGTTTCTTTTCCACCAAGTTTTTCTTTTTTTCTTGTTTGTGTTGGTCTTTGTCTTTCATGTCGGATGTATCCTGCTATCTTCAAATGTATGGTAACCACCTGTTCCAATGTAAGATTAAGACTTGTTTGTCTTCCCTCATCATAACTATCCTTTGTGTCTGCTGTCTCTGTGAGGAAAAGCCACCCCTCCTAAATTCTTCCAGATTATGAGCCTTCTATTAGGGTGTCGGACATGGGATGGGTAGTCGCTGCTCCATATCCACACTTTCAACTAATTTCACAATATTTAGCCTCTGCTTGTGTCTCCTACCCTCACCTAATGGTGCTCAGTGTCTCTGAGTCTTGGATCTCTGGAGTCCTAGGGAAAAAATACTCATTACTTATCACTTTGCACTGATGAATCATACAGCACAATATAAATAATCTATTTGTCTGTCCTACTCTGTGCTAAGCACTTCTGTGCTTATGCCATCTAGCAATGAGGTACCAGATAACAGCTAAGCATTGGTTTCCTTATTTCCTTCACTCTACAGGCAGCTGCAGGAAGAAATGCTTTGATTCTTCATATAGCGGACTAGAGGGCTGCTGGTGTGATGTGGGTTGCAAAGACCGAGGTGACTGCTGCTGGGATTTTGAAGACACCTGTGTGGAACCAAGTATGTATTCAGAAAATAAGTTTATTAGAATGTTAGTTGTCCTCTCATTGATGTATGTCCAGATGCCCACCTCTACACCTTGTGTATTAGTTTGCTATGGCTGCCACAGACACTACCACAAAATGGACAGCTTAATTAAACAACAAAATTCACTTTCTCAGCTCTGGAGGCTAGAAATCCAAGATCTAGATGTCTGCAGAGTTGGTTTCTTCTGAGGGCTATGAGGGAGAAGCTGTTCTATGCCTCTCTCCTAGCTTCTAGTGAGTTGCTGGCAATCATTGGCACTCTTCTTTCATCTCACATTGCATTCTCCCTGTATCTTCACAGTCTTCCCTCTGTATGTGTCTGTGTCCAAATTTCCCCCTTTTTATAAAAATACTGGTCACACTGGATTCGGGCCCATCCTAATCTCATTTTACCTTGATTATCTGCAAAGATCCTTTTCTACGCAAGGTTGCATTCACAGTTATGGGGGTTAGGACTTCAATATTTGGGGCTCAGGGGGTGCATTTCAACTCCTACCACCTTATATACAGGATTGACTGTTATACTCTCCCAGTTTACAGTGCTAAGTGCAGAGTCCATGCTTTACATAATTGAGGTTCTAATGGAGTTTAATTAATTTGGTTTAATTTATTTAAGCTTCAGTGGAGTTTTACTATGGCTTATGTTAATCATCTAATTTTGCTTCATTTATAGTGGTTCTCAAATTTCAGGGTGTGTAAGACTTACTTGGAAAGCTAGTGATTCTTGGTGACACTGGTGCCAATACTCTACAGAACACAACTTGAGAAATACCATTTTCTAGGTGGAAGAGATCATTTGCAATGTTTAAATTTTAAGAAATCAGGGAAGGTTGGGGGACCTAGTGGTTTGAACATTGAAGAACAGAACATAGAGCTCCTTATATTATCATCTGTGAAAAGGGCCAGATGGAGCAGATAACCTAGTATAGATAAGATTGCTTTTATTTAATCTCCAAAAATCTTTTCTTTCTAAGTAAAAAATAAATAATGGGGAATGAAGAACTCCATGTCCAATGGAAGCACACAGTCACCTATCCAACATACTGTTTAAGCACAGGGCTGATGTTGATGTTAGCCACTGCTTCTTAGCAGGTGGCACGTGGAAGCAGCCTCAGTCCAGCCTGAGGATTTATTTACACCAATCTTAACACTAAGTACAAGGCCTGGGAGAGCACCAGAGGTGTCGTGGGGAGCTGCTCTCTCTTCCCCTTCTGACACTCTCAGCTGGGAAGTACCCTGGCCTGCCTACTACATTCCTGCAGACCTGACTGTGCTCCTGTTACTTCTGTTGTCACTGCCTCTTCATTGCTGCTTGTCCTTAGAAAAGGCTGTGCAAAGGTGCACTTGGGTGGCAACAATCACTCAGTGTTAGTGTTTCTTCACCGTCAGTAGCCCTTGCCCCTGGGCAGGGATAGGACCAGTGTTCAGAGTGTCTCTAAACTCAGAGGTGTACCTGCTAGGGGGACCAGAGCTGTAGCTTATAAAGCTGCATTTCTCTCTGCCATCCATGCCAAATGAAGAAAAATGGTGGATTACCCCTTTTTTGTATTATGTGTTTCATTTATTAATGTAGATAAACCAAGAATTGTACTGTACAATAATGCAGAGAGAAATGCACACAAGTTAAATTTTTGGTATTGGATACTTGAAACAAATGTTGAGAATGGAAATGTGTAATTTTACAGCTCGAATATGGACATGCAATAAATTTCGTTGTGGGGAGTCCAGACTAGAAGCCAGCCTTTGTTCTTGTTCAGATGACTGTTTGCAGAGGAAAGACTGCTGTACTGACTATAGGAGTGTTTGTCAAGGTAAGCAGGGAATATTGACTCTTTGGCCCCTGTGAGTTCAGTGACCTAGAGCTGGCCTAGGCTGCAAAAATCAAAATAAGTTAGAGAATCTCTAGCTAGTCCGTATGGAAGAAAGACCATATGTGTTCACAGTTTGTCCACTATAGAGGAAAGGAGCTCATATAGCATAGATAGTATAGAAAAGAAGAGAAAGTTTAAAGTTCCATATTAATTTGATATTTTTTCAGCCCAAAGACTATCTTAGATATACTTGTGGTTTGAGACATTGGATGGTTAAAGTTAAAACATCATGAAAGAGGTTATCTGGCCCAAATATCAGTTAGTTAAACCAGAGTTACTACTGAAACAACTGTGACCTGAATGGTTAAATTACTGTTTAAGAGCCTTCAGGTTGTAAATGCAGAGCTGACGAGAATCCAGGTTATGAACTCCTGACTGTATCTGCTTGCCACTTTATGAGTGATGTAGATTTTTTTAAATCACCAGTTCTTCTGAACATCTGATGATAGTTATAAAAAATGTACGCACACACATAGCAATTTAATTGCTTCATACAGAACACAACTTGAGAAATACCATTTTCTAGGTGGAAGAGATCATTTGCAATGTTTAAATTTTAAGAAATCAGGGAAGGTTGGGGGACCTAGTGGTTTGAACATTGAAGAACAGAACATAGAGCTCCTTATATTATCATCTGTGAAAAGGGCCAGATGGAGCAGATAACCTAGTATAGATAAGATTGCTTTTATTTAATCTCCAAAAATCTTTTCTTTCTAAGTAAAAAATAAATAATGGGGAATGAAGAACTCCATGTCCAATGGAAGCACACAGTCACCTATCCAACATACTGTTTAAGCACAGGGCTGATGTTGATGTTAGCCACTGCTTCTTAGCAGGTGGCACGTGGAAGCAGCCTCAGTCCAGCCTGAGGATTTATTTACACCAATCTTAACACTAAGTACAAGGCCTGGGAGAGCACCAGAGGTGTCGTGGGGAGCTGCTCTCTCTTCCCCTTCTGACACTCTCAGCTGGGAAGTACCCTGGCCTGCCTACTACATTCCTGCAGACCTGACTGTGCTCCTGTTACTTCTGTTGTCACTGCCTCTTCATTGCTGCTTGTCCTTAGAAAAGGCTGTGCAAAGGTGCACTTGGGTGGCAACAATCACTCAGTGTTAGTGTTTCTTCACCGTCAGTAGCCCTTGCCCCTGGGCAGGGATAGGACCAGTGTTCAGAGTGTCTCTAAACTCAGAGGTGTACCTGCTAGGGGGACCAGAGCTGTAGCTTATAAAGCTGCATTTCTCTCTGCCATCCATGCCAAATGAAGAAAAATGGTGGATTACCCCTTTTTTGTATTATGTGTTTCATTTATTAATGTAGATAAACCAAGAATTGTACTGTACAATAATGCAGAGAGAAATGCACACAAGTTAAATTTTTGGTATTGGATACTTGAAACAAATGTTGAGAATGGAAATGTGTAATTTTACAGCTCGAATATGGACATGCAATAAATTTCGTTGTGGGGAGTCCAGACTAGAAGCCAGCCTTTGTTCTTGTTCAGATGACTGTTTGCAGAGGAAAGACTGCTGTACTGACTATAGGAGTGTTTGTCAAGGTAAGCAGGGAATATTGACTCTTTGGCCCCTGTGAGTTCAGTGACCTAGAGCTGGCCTAGGCTGCAAAAATCAAAATAAGTTAGAGAATCTCTAGCTAGTCCGTATGGAAGAAAGACCATATGTGTTCACAGTTTGTCCACTATAGAGGAAAGGAGCTCATATAGCATAGATAGTATAGAAAAGAAGAGAAAGTTTAAAGTTCCATATTAATTTGATATTTTTTCAGCCCAAAGACTATCTTAGATATACTTGTGGTTTGAGACATTGGATGGTTAAAGTTAAAACATCATGAAAGAGGTTATCTGGCCCAAATATCAGTTAGTTAAACCAGAGTTACTACTGAAACAACTGTGACCTGAATGGTTAAATTACTGTTTAAGAGCCTTCAGGTTGTAAATGCAGAGCTGACGAGAATCCAGGTTATGAACTCCTGACTGTATCTGCTTGCCACTTTATGAGTGATGTAGATTTTTTTAAATCACCAGTTCTTCTGAACATCTGATGATAGTTATAAAAAATGTACGCACACACATAGCAATTTAATTGCTTCATGCTATCAACCCCTCTTTCACACTCAAAATAAAGCTAACTTCCAAATTTATTATTTTGAGACCAAGAAAAGATATTATATTGAATTCTTATTTTCTTTAAATAAGAGGAAAGGGTTATAGTGGAAACATTATTAACTGTAATGCCTTAGTAGAAAATAGGATTTGCACTAATAGAGGAATCTGTTTTTATACAGAATATAATGGAAAATCAGCTAAAAAAGGGCAATCAGAAAGAAAAATAAAATTCTGAAATGGTAGCTCTATTTTTAAAAAGTAATTTCTTGGTATTTAATAGTGAATATTGTATTATTAAAAACCCCTTTAAATTCACAGATAAATGTGGTTTCTTGTTTGCTTATTTCTCATAAGTTTACTGACCATATTGACTCTGACCCGTATATTCTGCCCTCTACCCTAATTGTATACCTCTTAACTGTTTAATCTCAAGACTGATCTTCAGGTCATATGGTAAGCTTTCCCGCTGAATTTATTGCACAATATTGCTTGAATTTAACAGACACAGAAGTAATAGCTGTACACAGTGTTGAATTTTATCATTATTGCTAAATCAGTTTCTTTATTGGAGTTAATTTAATCATGTCAGTTTATTTTTTAAATAAAATGTATTTCTCTTTAACTACACTTTATACTTAAAGACATTAAATAATTTTTTTGCCAAAAATTTTGTTTTCAGACAGTAGTTTGAGGGGATTTGGATAATTTTTGTGCAGGGGACTAGCTAGTTACTTTTATATTTTGTTTAGAATTTTTAAAACTTGATGATAAATTTCTAACACATACAAAGGAAATAATAGTATGTTGTCTTCCCTATGTCCATCATAGCCAGTCTAGACTTGTACTGGCCAAGTATAATTTTCAAAATGATATAAACATCACTCTTGTGTAATGTGAAGTGAACATGTCAAATATTTATTAACTCATTAATGAGATTAACAACTGCAATTTTAAGCTGGCTCAAAGAGAATGTAAGACATGGAGCATATATAGGATAGAAAGAATGTTGGAATGAAACCACTAAACTTTTGGTGGGACAGAAATAATTTGCATTTCTACAGGACAACTTATTTGCTAACAGTTTTCTAAAAATTAATTGCTACCTTTACTGAGTTATAAAATGGTAAATGGTAAAGAATAAGCTAGATGAAGTTATATACTCCTGCATCACTAGATAATCCACAAGTGGGTTTTTTAGATAATTCCCAGCATGACATTAAAATGAATTTAGTGATCAGTCCTACTTTTGCTCATTTTTAAGTTTTGATTTCTTTTTTTTCTTAAAAAATATACTCTTTATTCCCCTAAACACCTCTCCCCAAATTTTAGACTATTTTGAAGCAAATTCTACAGTTAATATCATTCATCCATAAATATTTTTGGCATGTATCTAAAAAGATAAATAATTAACAAAATTACAATACCATTAATTATCTAAAAATATGATCAATGATTATTTATTGTCAAATATCCAATACTATTCTAATTTTTCTGTTTCATAACATTTTTTAAATGATTGTTTGAGGTAGAATCCAAATAGATTCCATACACTGCAAGTGGTTGATATATTTCAAGACCTTTAAAAGTTGGTTCTCCCTTCCTCTTTTTTTCTCTTGCAATTTACATGCCAAAGAAGAAATGGAGTCATTTATCCTGTGGAGTTTTCCAGTACAGGTTTTACTGACTTATGCCATTTGTCATCCCCTGTATTTACTGAAAACTGGTTGTTAGAATCAGAGGAACATTGAGATTCAGATCTAATTTATCTATTAATTTATTCTACAAGTACACTGCACAGATGGTGTTTTTTCTTCCATCAAGAGGCATGTCTTGTCTATTTGTCTCTTTTCCTGGAATTGCTGGAATATCTTATAAACAGAAATATAAACATCCATGAAGTAAAGAATTTTTTAGTTAAGATCATAAAGATTTGTTCGGTTTGGTGTAGATTACTGATCTTGTAAATCACAGAGGCATTGACCTTGCAAGCACATGAAATAGCACTTAACACATTCTGGAAGAATTTGGTCACTGGAGTAGCATAAATGAAGTGTTTGAAAAAATCACGTCCATTGAACATTTGTCTCTCTTTTCTAGCTGTGGTGCAACAGTCTAAAGATTTTGATCTTACGCTTTTCAGGAGAAACCCCATGGGTGGAAGAAGTGTGTGGCGCAGCCCAGCAGTCTCAGTGTCCAGAAGGGTGAGAACAATAAGGGGATTTTTATCTTTCTGTAACACATGGCACATGAAATGTAGTTGAGAGGCAAGGATGAATTTCCTTCACTTTATTTACATTTAAAAAAGATTTGTGCAAGAGACCAGCTAGTTACTTTTATATTTTGTTTAGAATTTTTAAAACTGTATGATAAATTTCTAACACATACAAAGGAAATAATAGTATGATATCTTCCCTATCTCCATCATAGCCAGTCTCGTCTCGTACTGACAAAGATTTCCTTATGGCTTCAAACTCAAACAGACTTTTGTTTGCTTTATTGTTTTACAAAGCCCTTTTATATTAATGTAGGATATTCATGTCTTACAACAATGACTTGAAAATATCTGTTGAAGTATTAATTACTAACATTCCCAAGGTTCTATGGTCAGGGATAGAATTTAGATTTAAATTACTCCAGGCAGAACTCTTTTTCTGTAACATCCTAGCACCTTAGGGGAAGAGATTTGTCCCTGGAAGGCCTCACAGTGAAAGGTAGACCCTGAGGGATGGATGAGGAGGACTTTGTCACGTGGGCATGGGTGATGAACCGGTGGGTGATGCCCCCCAGCCCACCCCTCCCATGCACCTGCTCCACACATTTACAAGGACTTCTGGACTGAGCCCAGCCCTGAAAACATGTCCCACATCACCTTCTAGTCAGGATGGATTTTCTCTCCAGTTGCCCCCTCTGCCCTCACCTCCTGCACAAGTGGTGGGAGGAAGATGATGAGGTAGAAGAAGGAGAGAAGAACACCCGACTATAGGAAGAATTGGTAGAGGCCTATTTAAAGAGCATTATTTCATTTTTAAAAAATGTGTGTGGATAGCATGTCTGTTTTTGAAGTACAACTCACACATATTGAAATGTTCACACTTATTTGTACACTATAATGAGATTTGGAAATTCAGAAACCTGTGAAACCCACAGATAGAAAATATTTCCAGGTTATAGAGTACTTCCATCCTTCATGTTATGATTTCTAAAATCACAGATTCTTGTTTTAGAGTTTCATGTCAATGGAATCACACCAAACATTCCCTTGTGTCTGTTCTTTGTCTTTGCTTAGCCCAATGTTTTTTGAGACCCGTAAAAGCTATTTTGTGTATTGTCTCTTGCACATGGCCTTTTGCACAGTGTATTTTCCCTGAGTAGAACATTGGTGCCATTCTCTTTTCATGTTATTTCTCTTTGTTCTTTAAGGCTCAGTTCACATGCCTTACCCCCTGGAGAGCCTGCTCTCACCCTGCAAAAAGCTGAATGTAATTGAATAGCACTCTGTATTCAAATCTAGCCCTTAACCCCTCCTGTTTACTTTTCCATTTCTTCCCCTAGATAAGAGCTGTAGTTCCTGCATACCTTTGTTCTCAGTATCTAGCCCAATGCCTGACTCAAATATTTGTTAAAACAAGTTATTCTATGATGAATTCATATCCTGGGAAGACAAATAAACTTGTCCTCCAGATGCTCCTCACACTGTCTTTTACAATGTGGAATTAGATGGCTACACTGGTTTTCTTTTTCTAGTGTTACTCAGGCACATTGAAAAAAACATTTTTCTCATTTTTTAGCTGGTATCAACATTCAGAATTTTTTTTTATAATCATAGTGGTTGCTTGTCACAATTTTTAAAGACTTAACTCTAAGCCACTTCTTAGCAAAATGTTTTGTTCAAAAACTTAGCTATGAGACTGCTTAAGCACAGAGTTGAAAATAATGTCTTCACATACTCACTTGCATGCACTGCATTTAGAATTTAAAACAAATCTACTGTGTTCGTAGTTTCTATTCATGATAGCCATGAACTGGAAAATACATAAGTACCCAACAATAGAATGAAAAAGTTGTGGTTTACCCATTCACTGCATACTAGACAGCTGTGAGAATGAATGATCCACGACTACATGCAACGATGTAGATAAATCTCAAACATTATATAAACAAAATAAGCCAGGCACAACAGAATGCATACTATCTGGTTCTGTCTGCACACAAATACCAGTACAGAAGTAAGCACAACAAATCTATGCTGTTAGAAGTCAAGATACTAATCACCCTTGGTGGGGATGTGGTTGGTGAAAGTTACTACCTGCAAGAGAGCACATGGGAGGCTTCCAGAGAGCAGGCAGTATTCTGTTTCTTGATCTGGGTGATGGCTACACAGTGGAGTTCAATTAGGAAAAATTTAACAAATTATACATCTGTGAAGTTTTGTGTGTGTGTGTGTGTGTATAAAATATATATATAAATTTAAAAGTGAAAAGAATATTGAATGAGGAAAAGACAGTCTCTGGCTATAACCCAAACATCACCTTCATCATTTTAACTTAAATGCTGATCTAAAAAGAGATTGTGATGCTTCTGAGGTTAATATGAATATCCTGAGATATTAGAATTAAGCATTAAAAAAAAGTAGAACTTCAGAATAATAAAACATCTCCTAAGCTATGGGATTTCTGAACTCCATGTCATAATTATTTTCAAGAGATGGAAGAATAATTCTAACTTCTTTAATTTTTGAGGTTGAATCTTGAATTCGGTTATCATTACTCTTGGCTCCTGAGCCAAAGCCAGGATCATGAAGGGTGAGCAGTACAGAACCCCATTTATGATGATGTTTTGTTAATGCTCCGCTTGCATGCTGCTGACCTTGTAATACTGTAATTAATTAGCTCCATGTAGACTTGGCACTGTAAAACACTAAATACATTTGTGGAAAGGCAATGATACCAATGTGCTATGTTGTAATGATTTCAAAGTATTGGGTGAGTTTTGTGAGGTTGAGTAACTGCTTAGAGTTCAATAGCTAGTAAAGAATGAAGCTGACACATGACTAATACTAATTAGGAATTACTAGTATACTAGAAGTATTGATTGTTAAGGGAGATTACACTTTTTAAAAAGAGAAAGGAAAACTTGACCCAGAAGTTTTCTTGCTGTACTTTCTAAGTACTTTCTAATTTAGAGCATTGCAAGTAACAGAAAAGTATCCTTTTTCTAACAATCAAAAGAAAAGACTAATATTTGGTTTTCTGTTTTCAGATTTGACCTGCCACCAGTTATTTTGTTTTCCATGGATGGATTTAGAGCTGAATATTTACAGACATGGGGTACTCTAATGCCTAGTATTAATAAACTGAGTAAGTCTTCTACAATGGGAGATATGCAAAGACACCCACTTAGTTGTTAGATGGTGTGCCTTTTTTTCTGACCTTTAACATTACTGGTTTGTCATGCGTCATCTATGAATCCTGATGACTTTATCCCATGATATCTAGTTTCCCACTTCTTGGCCCCTTCCCTTATTTGTTTCTTTTGATTTGTTTTGTATTTGAATATAACTTCTGTCCTATGCAAATCTGTTCATGCATACTGTCTCAAATGTGGTACTTGTCAGACCTGGGTCTGGGTCTTTGCAAGGTGAGTATGACCAGCAGGGATAGGATCCTGCAGGAGCTGAGCAGATAGGGCAGGGCCAGCATATACCAACACTCCAGTAGGTGAAAAATCCCATTCTGGAATCAAACTGCCTGGAACCTGGCTCCACCATTTATGAGCTGTGAGATCTCAGGCAAGTTACCTCACCTCTGCATTTATAAAATGGTCACTTCCTACCTGATGGGAGTAATGTGAGCATATATACATTAAAATGGATGATTTTAAGCTCTTACTGTAAATATTGTTTTTATTATCATCTGTAAGAGAAATGAGTACTCAGCCAGGAAGTATCCAGAACAGTTAGAACCAGAGGGTCAGCTCCCCTGCGGTTATCTTTCTTCTCCCTTCCACCAGGCCCTCTTTTGCCTCCAAGGTCCTCAAACTTTATGAAAATTTTACTGGTTTTTGTTATGGGTTGAGTTTATTCTCCTTGATTCTTGTCCCTACTGTGACAAAGAATTGAAAGGCAGAGATAACAGGAGCGAAACAGAATAAGAGTTTTATTTGAATGCACTCCACGGAAAGAGCTGGCCAGAGTCGAGGGAGACAAAGGCAGGCTACTCTCTGTGCGGATTCTTTTATGGGGTTTTTGGCAGGACAGAGAAGTCCTTGACTGACAATCTTTAGCCGTGGAGGCCTGGTCTAATTGATAACAACAAAAAAAAAGACATGGGGTGCACTCTGATGATATCTGTGCTTGTCTTCTGATATTTTCATTATCTAGGAGTGTCTGTGCTTAGAAGCTTCTTATCTGGGAAGTGTCTGGACATTCCAAGTGTAACTCCTGGACTTTAAAACGCCAACTAGTTAACTCTCTCTTTTCTGGCTCTCTGGTTTTATCTGGTTAACTCTTTGAATCCCTTTCAGTGGGCTTTACTGGCTTTATTCTCCCTTCACCTACCCATATCTGTCTTTCTAACAGTTTCTTGTTTTTATTTTTGTCCAAATTATTCAAAAATAACTGTTTGAGCCTGAGGAAATCAGTTACCTCTCCTTTTAAAGGCCTTTCCTCTCCTCATTTGTAAAACGAAAGGGTTAGCTCTAAAGATTTCTGCTGTTAGTTCAAGCTCTAAATTCCATGACTGTGGAAAGATAAACTACTTCCCTCTGCAACACAAGCTGCTTTGTCAGCCTCTCACTCACTGTGAGGCAGATCTTCAGCAAAGAGATTGAGAATTTGTGGCTCTGACAAAACTGGCTCCAAATTCAGGACGTGTCACCTACTGCTGAGTTATTTTAGCCTGGAAAGTTAATTATCATCACTCAGTTTCTATCTCCTTATCTGCATTTTCCTTGATACTCTGGCTATAAAATCCTGTGCCCAAAAGGGAATTAAGCTATCCAGGCTGAACCCCTTTTGAAGTGGAATCATTTAATTGGTTCATTCCATTGAGAGTTGGAAATGACACCAGTGAAATAGTGGGTCATTGATAGCTTTCCCCTTTCTAAGGTTTAAAGTATTTTTAAAATTATTCAGAAAGCATTTTGACCCTGTAAACAGAATCATGCAGTATGTGTCTTTTGTGACAGACTTATTTCACTCAAACGTCTTCAAGGTTCATCTATCTGTAGGATTTCCTACTTTAAGGCTGAATAAAGTTCCTGTGTGTGTGTGTGTGTGTGTGTGTGTGTGTGTGTATACTACTTAGAAAAAATCCATTTATCTACTGATGGATATTTAGCTTGTTTCCATATGTTGGCCATAGTGAATACTGCTGTGTTTACTATAAGAATGTAATATCTCCTCCAGATCATGTTCTCAATTCTTTCAAATATACAGAGGTGAAATTGTTAGATCATATGGTAGCTGTATTTTTACTTATCTGAGGAATGTCTGTACTGTTTTCCATGTAGCTACACTATTTTGTTTTGTCATCAGCAGTGTACAAGGGTTGCAATTTCTCCATATCCTTGCTGACATTTGTTTTTGATAGTAGTCGTCCTAATAAGTGTAAGGCAAAATATCTCACTGTAGTTTTTATTTGCATTTCCCTGATGTTTAGTGATGTTGATCATCTTTTTTAATACTTGTTGGCCATTCGTATGTGTTCACCTGAGAAATATCTATTCAAATCCTTAGACCATTTTTTTAACTGAGTCATTAGGTTTGTTTTGTTCTATCGAGCTGTAGGATTTCATTATATATTTTAGAAATCACACACTTACCAGATATATAGTTTGCAAATATGTTCTCCCATTCCATGGGTTGCCTTTTTATTCCATTTATGTTTTTCTTTGCTGTGCAGAAGCTTTTCAGTTTGATGTAGTTCCACTACCTGTGGTTTTGTTGTCATATCTATGAAGTCATTACTAAGACCAATATTGTTACTTTTCCCTAAGTTTTCTTCTAGGATTTTTGCACTTTCTATTCTTACATTTTAGTCTGTACCTCTTGTTGAGCTGGTTTTTATTTATGGTGTATGATAAGGGTCTAATTTCATTTTTTGCATGTGGATATCCAATTTTCCCAGCACCATTTGTTGAAGACACTATTCTTTTCCCATTGTGTGTTCTTGCCATACTTCTTCAAGATCAGTTGACCATATAGATTTTCTAGGTTTTCTATTGTGTTCCATTGGTCTACATGTTTACTTTTATACCAGCACCATACTGTTTTAATCACTATGGCTTTGTAATATATTTGAAACCAGGAAGTGTAATGCCTCTAGTTTTTTTTTTTTAAAGATTGTTTTGGTTAGTCAGATACTTTTGTGATTCTATATGAATTTTAGTACTGTTTTTTCTATTTCTGCAAAAAAAAAGACCATGGGGATTTTGTTGGATATCACATTGAATCTGTAAATCTTTTTCGATAATGGGAGATTTTAACAATATGAAGTCTTTCAACCCATGAACATGGATATCTTTCCATTTGTTTCATCAAAGTTTTATAGTTTTCAGTGTACAAATCTTTCACTTCTTCAGTTAAATTTATTTCTAAGTATTTTATTCTTAGTGATGCTATGGTAAAATGGATTGTTTTCCTAATTTCCTTTTCACATTTCATGACTAGTGTATGAAACACAACTAATGTTTGTATAATAATTTTGAATCCTGCCTCTTTACTGAATTTGTTTATTAGTTTTTACAACCTTTTTTGTGTATGTTGAATCTCCAGGGTTTTCTATACATATCATATTATTTGTAAACAGGGACAATTTTGTTGTCTCTTATCTAATTTGGATAACTATTTTTTCTTGCTAATTTTTCTGGTAGGACATCGCATACTATGTTAAAGAGACGAGAGTGGGCATCCTTGCCTTGTTCCTAATCTTAGTGGAGAAATTCTCAGTTTTTCAACAATTGAGTATGATGTTAGCTGGGGGTTTCCATATATGGTCTACTTATTATGTTGAGGTAATTTCTCTCTATCCCTAGTTTGTCAAAAGCTTTTATGGTGAAAGACTATTGGATTTCATTAAATGGTTTTTATGTATCTATTGAAATGATCATATGATTTTTATCTTGCAGTCTGTTAATCTGCTGTATCACATTAATTGATTTTTGTATGCTGAACCATCATTGCACCCTAGAGATAAATCCTACTTGGTCATAGTGTATGATTTTTTTGTCGTTAAGGTATCACTAATATATGTTCTTATGAAGGTTTCACATGAGCAACATTGTGGTTACTACATTCACACATATTATCCAGTCCCCCCACCCCAATGTAGTCACTGTCCATCAGCATATTAAGATGCCACAGGGTCACTACATGTCTTCTCTGTGCTACTCTATCTTCCTTGTGACCTTCACACACACACACCATGTGTGTCAATCATAATGCCCATCAATCCTCTTCTCCTTTCCTCTCCACCACTAGTTCCTTCTTGGAGTCTGCGAGTTTGCTGCTGTTTTGTTCCTTCAGTTTTGCTTTGTTGTTATACTCCACATATGAGTGAAAGCATTTGGTACTTGTCTTTCTCTGCCTGGCTTATTTCACTGAGCCTAATACCCTCTAGCTCCATCCATGTTGTTGCAAATGGTAGGATTTGTTTTCTTCTTAAGGCTGAATAATATTCCATTGTGTATATGTACCACATATTCTTTATCCATTCATCTACTGATGGGCACTTAGGTTGCTTCCATATCTTCGCTTTTGTAAATAGTGCTGTAATAAACATAGGGGTGCATCTGTCTTTTTGAATCAAGGATCTTGTTTTCTTCAGGTAAATTCCTAGGAGTGGAATTACTGGGCCAAATGGTATTTCCATTTTTAGTTTTTTGAGGAACCTCCATATTGCTTTCCACATGGTTGAACTAAATTACATTCCCACCAGAGAGTTTACATTCTCACCAGCATTTCTTGGTCCTTGACTTCTTGTTGTTGGCCATCCTGTTGTGAGGTGATATCTCATTGTGATTTTAATTTACAATACAACCATCCCTGGTAATTACCAATGTGGAGCATCTTTTCATGTGCCTGTTAGCCATCTGAATTTATTCTTTAGAGAAGTGTATGTTCATATCCTCCACCCATTTTTTAATTGGGTTATTTGCTTTTTGGGTGTTGAGGCCTGTGAGGTCTTTATATATTTAGAATGTTAATCCTTTGTCAGATATGTTGTTTATGAATATATTCTCCCATACTGTAGGATGCCTTTTTGTTCGCTAATTGTGTCCTTTGCTGTACAGAAACTTTTTAGTTTCATGTAGTCCTGTTTGTTCATTTTTCCTTTTGTTTCCCTTGCCCAAGGAGATG